GCCCTGCTGCCAGGCTGGCAGCCCAGACGAGGCACACCTCGTTTTCGGCCAGTTCTGCGCGAGGTATTTTTGCAGTCGCTTGGTCGCGTAAGGCCTAGCACAGCTGGTGCCCTCCTGGGGGAAGGAACAATGACATAAGCACAAAACCTCGGAGGTCCGCGCGGATCTCTCGGATCGGCGCTGGACCCCCTCTGGCGCGCAGGGGGGGGCCAGCGCCTCCGCGCGCCAGGGATGGGGGGTCCAGCGCCGATCCGAGAGATCCGCGCGGACCTTCGAGTTTACATGCTTATGTCATTTTTCGTTCCCCTACCTCCTGCCTTTGCCGCCAGTCCCACGACGTGTCGCCTGTTTTTTCTTGTTTGGTACGATCGCCAGCATTGGCTTTCGAAGTTGGAGGTCCGCGTTGCGGCCACCGCTCCCGGTCCGCTCCGCAAGCATCCTCCACCCCCTGTCTCCTGAAGATGCAAATCGCCTCAAAGCGTTCTGGAACGTTCTCAGAGCCTTCCTGTAACTCGAAGGAGAACAAAAACGCCATAAACAGAAACTTTCGGCGCTCCGCGCGGATTTCTTGGATCGGAGTTGGGCTCCCCTGGCGGCGCCTCCGGCGCCGCCACTGGCGCGCTCCGCGCGTCAGGGAGGGAGGTCCAGCTCGGATCTAAGAAATTCGCACGGAGTGCCAAACAATTAGTTGTCATACTTTTCGTTGGGTTCTGGTGTTCTTCCTTGCCGCGTCGCACCCGCGTCTCACTCACCTCCCCTCTTCCTCCTTCCTCTCTCACCCACGCGCAACAAATGCACGGCATGTACATGAGACACGCGTGTACATACAGCCCCTCGCATGCACACACATTCGCATACACACCATACAACGCCAGTGCACGCCTGGCGTGTTCACTGCATCACACCCAAGACGTATGCAACACATACTGGGCACCCACATGAAGCATACGTCCACGTCCAGCCTGGCACCCAGTACGTGTTGTTTCCTCCCACCTCCCTCTTCCCCTCCTCTTCCTCTCGTCATCTGCGCGCAAATGATGTACGGCGCGTACATGAGATACGCGTTTACATACAGCCGCACGCGGGCACATTCGCACACAAACACACACAAACACACAGACACTCCATACAAAGCTAGTGGACGCCTGGCGTGTTCACTGCATCATACACCCACGTCCAGGTACAGCCGCACACGCATCATTCACGTGACGCGTACTGGGCGTACATACAGCCGCATAGGCATCCTACACATGGCACGCACACCACAACACATGAACACCACAGGGGGGTGCGCTGTGGGTGAGGGCGCTATCCGTTTCGGGCTCGCCACGCGTGGCAGGCGTGGCAATTCCTCGACACCACAGGGGATGCGATGGGTGTGGGAGCGCTATCCGCTTCGGGCTCGCAAAGCGTGGCAGGCGTGGCACTTCCTCGACACCACAGGGGTTGCGCTGTGGGTGGGAGCCCTATCCGTTTCGAGCTCGCAGAGCGTGGAGCCGTGGCGCATTCTCGACGCCATAGGCGGTGCGCTGGATGTGGGAGCGCTATCCGTTTCGGGCTTGCAAGACGTGGCAGGTGTGACAAATCCTCGTCGCCATAGGGGGTGCGCTGTGGGTGGGAACGCTATCCGTTTCGGGCTCGCAAAGCGTGGCAGGCCTGGCACTTCCTCGACACCACAGGGGCTGCGCTCTGGCTGGGAACGCTATCCGTTTCCGGCTCGCAAGGCGTGGCAGGCGTGGCGCATCCTCGACGCCATCGGGGGTGCGCTCTGGGTGGGAGCGCTATCTGTTTCGGGCTCGCAAAGCGTGGCAGGCGTGGCGCCTCCTCGACGCCATAGGGGGTGCGCTGGATGTGGGAGCGCTATCAGTCTCGGGCTCGCAAAGCGTGGCAGGCGTGGCACTTCCTCGACACCACGGGGGGCGCGCTGTGGGTGGGAGCGCAAGGTGCGGCAGGGTGCACTGGAGGTGGCAGTTTCTTGACACCCGAAGGGGTGCGCTGGAGGTGGGGGCGCTATCCGTCGTGTGCTCGCACAGCGTGGCAGGCGTGGCAGTTTCTCGTCGCCGCAGGGGGTGCGCTGGAAGTGGGGGCGCTGTCCGTCGTATGCTCGCAAGGCGTGGCAGGCGTGGCAGTTTCTTGGCACCAGAAGGGGCGCGCTGGAGGTGGGGTACGCTCGCACAGCATGGCAGGCGTGGCCCTTTCTCGACACCAGAGGGGGATCCGCACGGGTTGGGCCCTTCACCGCGGTGTTTGTACGTCCCGGTCGTCCATGCACAGCAGGCGTGGCACTTTCTCGACACCGTAGGGGATGTGCAGGGGGGTGGGCCCCCGCCGCGGCGTGCGCCGTCCGCCTGCCCACCGCGTCGAGACCCGTGCGCTGTCCGCTTGCCTTCTTACCGCCCCGCTCTCTTCCGTGGTCGCCATGGCTCAGGCTGTTGTTCGCACGGCGCGTCAGTCTCCCAAGGCTTGACCAGCGCCACCAGCGGTAGCGGCGAAACAACGGCCACCAGCATCATTCTCGCGAGTTTCACGTCAGCTATCATCACGCCAGACATATTTCAAGTATGTGGGGTTCTTCGGTAGCGTAATGTCTATTATGTTTTTTCTTCTAGTAACGCTCTGATCATAAGATCCTTGCAGGAACGGTCTGACAATCCTGTAGCGCTCTGACAATCTGATGACCGGTACCGCTCCCGTAGCATTCCAACGGCCGGGGCGCCCGGTAATCACATGATGCTGGCCCCAGGGTGCCCATGACCCCACCCCCAGATGGGATGGGTCCCAGAGTATGTTCCCGTGGTTCCCAGGTCCCCCCCTCGATGGGATCAGTGTTTGTGTTTGTGTCTGTGATTGTGTTTGTGCTTGTGCTTGTGCTTGTGCTTGTGTGGTGTGTGTGTGTGTGTGTGTTGTGTGTTGTGTGTGTGTGGTGTGTTGTGTTGTGTTGTGTTGTGTGTGTGTGTCTGTGTTGTGTGTTGTGTGTTGTGTGTTGTGTGTTGTGTGTTGTGTGTTGTGTGTTGTGTGTTGTGTGTGTGTTGTGTGTGTGTGTGTGTGTGTGATGGGGGGGGGGCGACGACGCCGGCGAGGGCGACGAAGACGACGACGGCGACAGCGACGGAGGCGACGCGGGTCCTGCTGGGCCCATCATCTCCCTCGGCGCTCCTCGTCCCGGGGGCAGGGGGGGCGGGGCGGGTCGGGGGGGTGCGGCGCGCGCCTCTCGTGCGCACCCGACCGCGGCAGCGCTGCCAGCCTGCTGCACGGCTCAGCAGCCAGGCGCTGCTCCCCTTGATGGCGGCGCGCCGCTCCGCCCTGCTAATCGGGGAAGCGCAGGACCCGAGTGAGCCGGCACTCGGGTTTGCTTGCGTTTTTTTGACGAGCGCGTCCAGGATTTTGACGGTCCAGTTTTCGTGGGATGTCTGCAGCGGGAGCTCGCGTCAAATTTCAGATTGGGCCTCGTCATTTTTGATGAGGGCCCCGTCGGGCCAACCCGAGTCCCCCGTGCCCGAGTCTTACGTCTCCCCGATGCTACTCGCCGCAGCGCTGCCAGCCTGCTGCACGGCTCAGCAGCCAGGCGCTGCTCTCCTTGGTGGCGACGCGGCGGTTCGTCCTCCGCAGTGTGGGCTCTGTCAGGAGGGGGAACAAGAGCACGCAGAGATAGTTCGTTGTCGATCCCTAGGAAAGTATGGGAAAGGAAGTGGGGGGGAAGACGAGAGTTCAGAAAATAGGGAAGGTAATGAGAATCCCTGGACTTGTGTCTATTTATTTGTGTGTCCTTGGGCCCCTTCACTTTGGGGGTCCCCATGGGGGGGCCTCTGGAGCCATGAAGGGAGCGCTCGCGACGGCAGCCTCTCCCGAGCCCTTCGCCCTCTCGAGCCCGTGCCAGATCCCAGAGCCATCAGAGGACCAACCTGGGACTACTAAGCGGCCCCTGGGAAGGTGCCAACACCAGGGGCAACGGTACAGTGGAAGGACAACGTGTTCGAACACTTACGTGTTTGAAGCTTTTGTCCATCTGTTGTACTTCCGGGGCCCACGCATCGAAACAATTGGAGCAGCCGGACATTTGGGCCTATCCTTTGGCGGCATTGTGCCAGCATTCTTCGGGCCAGAACGACCTGTGACCTTCCCAGGTTTCGAAACTGGGCGAAAACGCCCGGTGTGAAAATGATGCACTGTTCGGACTTCAGGGTCTTCCAATCCCAGTGTCTCGTGGGCGGAAACATACCCGTATCCGCGGCCTCGCGGGCCAGGCCCCTGTGCCGCGACTCCGCGGATATTTGGCGTTCTGTTCGCAGATGTCGCGCGGAACGGATCCGTGCGACCGCGTGTGCCTGCGGGAAATGCGTCCCTGCATCCCGACCGCGAGGGCGCGGACACGGATACGCTCGCCTTCCGTGAGTCTTGACGATGCCTCTCCGACTCACCTGCGATGCGGCGCGATCCCCAGGAGGGAAGCAGACACAGACACAGTGAGTCGTCGACCCCCCAGAAACACGTGGGAAACATTGTGGGCAGTCGGGGGAAAGACGAGCACCCAGAATCTCTATAGGAAAAGACTGCGAATCCTGGGATCTGGGCCCACTGAGGAGGAGGAGGAGGAGGAGGAGGAGGAGGAGGCGGAGGAGGAGGAGGAGGAGGAGGAGGAGGAGGAGCCCTTTGAGCTCCTCCGGCGCCAGCTGCGTCGACCTCGTGGCAGGCAGCCTCCGTCCTCGCTCCGTTCCTCGCGGCGCCCGCGCGCGCACCGGGGGGGGGGGGGGCGGCTGGGGCGTCGACTCGGTGGGGCGCGCGGCCCGGTGGCCCCTTCGGTGCTCCCCGGCAGCGCGGGCCTCGGGAGCACAGCTCCTGGCGTCCACAGCAGCAGCGGCACACCTCGACGAGCGCGCTCCACCACTCGCACAGCAGCTCCTCGCAAATGGCCCGGATCCCCCGCCGGGGACCTGCGAGGAGTTGCATCAAAGCAGATAACTGTTTTTCGGACGTTTGCGAGTAGGCACTGTGCTAGTCGTGGAACGCGGTCGGCGAACACCTCAGGGGTAGCGCTGGGGGGGGGATAGGGTGAGGGGGGATACATCGACCCCCAGTCGCCCATGGATCGTCGACAGGGGCTCCATAGCCCACCCGGCCCAGGACCGTGCGGACTCGCTGTCGGGGACCCATCTACAATCCATCTCGGGCGATCGCAAACATGGATCAAGGCGGCGTGGATTAGCGACGGGTCCCGCTTCCATCTGAAATCGCGGAGTTCCGCCGCCGAACGGGGCGGCAACGGCCGCATTTTGGGGAGGGCGCCTGCCCCGATCCATGGGTTTGGCGACCGCGCGCCAAATCCATGGATCGCGAATCCATGTTTGTGCGCCCCCGACAATCGCCCATTGATCGTCGATAGGGGCTCGATAGCCCACCCCGCTCAGGACCGTGTGGATTCGCTCGGGGACCTATCGCCAATCTATCGGCGATGTATCTCAGGAGGGACAAAAACATTGACACAATTCATCGTCGACTCCAGGAAAATATTGGAAAATGTGAGAAGTGGGGGGGAGGGGAAGACGAAAACCCGGAAGATACAGGAAAATATGAGACATCCTGGGATTTGTGTCTGTTTATTTATTTATTTATTTATATATATATATATATATAGGTGTGTGTGTGTGTGTGTGTGTCCCTGGGCCCCTTCGGTATCGCTGAGTCCAGGTCGATCTTTCTCCTCCTGAGCCGTTCCTTCCGATTGTGGCCACTCAGCACCCTGTACAGTTTGGAGTCCTTTCGTGTGCAGTGTAGCGCGCTTCCGTGCGGATCTGTGCTCCGTCGCGGAATTTTAGCCAGGTGCCTGCGGCAAGGCCCGCCGCGGTGCCAGCCGAGCATGCGGTGGTGGCGGCGGTTTGAGGAGGCACGGGAGGCCGTCGAGTGTGGCTTTCCGTCTTTCCAGGTTTGTGGGAGCCGACATGAGGATGTTTCAGATGATGATGATGATGATGATGATGATGATGAGGATGAGGATGAGGATGATGATGATGATGCCGAATATCTTTGTGATGTTGATGATACTGATGATGATGATGATGATGATGATGATGATGATGATGATGATGATGATGATGATGATGATGATGATGATGATGATGGTGATGATGATGATAATGATGATGATGATGATGATGATGATGATGATGATGAGCACGAGAATGATGATTATAATGATGACAATGATGATGATGATGATGCTCATCACGTATACCCTACACCCTCGATGCCCGCCCTCTTCGTCTTCGATCACACCCCTTTCGGGGGGATTATTTCTCTTTGCTGGGGCCGGCGGGCTTAGACGTACGGGCAAACCGGAACGGGCGGACAATCCTTCGGGGGCGTACATCTCTTTGCCCGCCATGGGAATTGGCGCGGGCCCTGCAAGAGGAGGAGGGGAAGAACGAGGGAGAGTGGGAGGAAGGGGAGGGGGAAGGACGAAGGAAGAGGGAAGATACCACGTTGTGAAGGCGTCCTTGGCGCGTGCGCGGTTCCTGAGCGCCGAAACGCAATTCCAGAATAATTTGTGAGGACGTCGCACGCGAGAGCGCAGTCCTGAGTACATTGTGAGGAAATCTCAGGCGGAAGCGGGGGCCATGACTAAGTTGCGAGGAAGTCTCAAGCGGGAGCGCCGTTCCTGAGCAAATTGCACGGAAGTCTCAGGCGGGAGCGGGGGTCCTCACTAAATTGCGAGGAAGTCTCAGGCGGGAGCGCCGTTCCTGAGTCAATTGCGCGGAAATGTCAGGCAGGAGCGGGGGTCCTGAGTAAAATTCGAAGAAGTCTCAGGCGGGAGCGGGGGTCTTGAGTACATTGCGAGGAAGTCTCAGACGGGAGCGCCTTTCCTGAGTAAATTGCGCGGAAGTCTCAGGCGGGAGCGGGGGTCCTAAGTAAAAATCGAAGAAGTCTCAGGCGGGAACCGTTGTTGTTGTAGCCCGGGGGGCAGGGGCACAGTTTGAGCAGGAAGACTTTCCTTGAGAAAAAACAAGGTGCGAGCCCCGGGGGTGGCACTTCAATCGAACAAAATTAATGTGCACCGGTGGGGGGGATCAACAATAATCATTCTCCAAGAATGAGAGTTCAACAACAACAACAACAACCACAACAACAATCATTTTACCCGAACGCGTGGTGTTCTCCCCAGTGCCAGGGTTTTCATACGACACCAGGCAATACCCCCACTTCGTGGGGGGGCATTACAAGCTCTACCAAATATCCAAACGACTCTTCGCGACCACCCAAACCCAGCTTCCCGCCCTATGACGTTGGGACACTTCACTTCGTGGCGTGAGGACGACCGTGGCTACTACACTGGCGTGGGGTACACACCCACAGAACCCAATGGTTTTTGGAGATTTCGGCGTGCGCGCGCGAAGAAAAAACGAATGTGTCCCGCAGGGTATTATTTGACAGGGATGATGGCCCTGGCAGGTGCGCAACCGTTGTCGCAGAAGTTCGAAAAAAGTTGCTCGCAAAAGCCCGTTTGACAGAAATGTTTAAAAAGTGTTGGTTTTCCTACGAATCCGCAAGAGCGCGCGGGATGAGATTTTGACATTTTTTTGTTGAAAAACCATTGGTTTTTTGATTTTTTTATGTTGAAATCGCTCCGAACACTAAGCTTTTGGAAGGATTTCGTCTTGCGCGCGCGAATGTCCACTTTACCTTATTTTTTGCAAGGGATTCTTGAAATTTGATTATATTTGAACAAGAAATTTCATTGTATAGTGTTTTTTGCAAGGGAAAGCGGATTACAACAAAACAACCGGATCTTGATCACCTCGAATTACCTGAGGCTTCCTCACGAAAATGATGAAAATGTGGCTGCGGCCTAGGCGCGGCGGGGGGGGCGCGCACCAGGGGGCCCAACAATAATTATTCTTTAGAATTAATAATGTTCAACAACAGCAGCAACAGCAACAACAACAACAACAACACCACCACCAACAACAACAACAACAATACCAACACCAACAACAACAATAACAACAACAACAACAACAACAACAACAACAACAACAGCAACAACAACAACAACACCACCACCAACAACAACAACAACAATACCAACACCAACAACAACAACAATAACAACAACAACAACACCAACAACACCACCACCAACAACAACAACAACACAGCAGCAGCAGCAGCAACAACAACAACAACGTGAATCCGCACCGCGGAATTCCACTTCAGCCACGCACCCAGGGACAATGAATGACCGTTCGGCCCCCTCACTCTGACCTAGAGGGCATTTTGGATTCTGGCCCGTTGGGGCCCCTGGAGGCCTAGTTGGGAGTGCTGGAGGTCTCTCTTGGGCCGTCTTGGGGGCATCTTGCGCTCGGGCCGATCTTTCGGCGACTCGGGGCCCTCTTGGGCCGTCTTCCCAGACCCCCGACGTCATGATTTTTTCATGACGTCGACCCCCCGAGGTCTCGACCCATTCCCCGGGACCGGTTTTTCGTCCTGAGTCGTTTTTTGACGCTCCCGAGGCCCGGTGAGGGCCCCCGGAGGCCGAAAATAATGAAAAACCTCCCGTCGTGAATTTTTCATAACTCGAGGGGGTCTGGGTTGGGGGTCTCTGGAGGGTCTCCTGGCACGCCTTGGGGCCCTCCCGGGTCCGAGCACGTCGCGCGACGAGACGCGGGGGAGCCCAAAGGGGGCTCCCGGGAAGCCCCCGGGGGGCACGCGGGACGCCCCAAGTGGCGCGCGGGAAGCCCTCCTCCTCCTCGTCCTCCTCCTCCTCCTCCTCCTCCTCTCTCCTCCTCCTCCTCCTCCTCCTCCTCTCTCCTCCTCCTCCTCCTCCTCCTCCTCCTCCTCCTCCTCCTCCTCCTCCGCCTCCTCCTCCTCCTCCTCCTCTCTCCTCCTCCTCCTCCTCCTCCTCCTCCTCCTCCTCCTCCTCCTCCTCCTCCTCCTAGCCCCGGGAGATTTGAGGAGTTGGGTTCCGGGCCCCTGCAGGACTCCTGCGGAGTGGGGGTTCTGGGCCTCGAGGATGGGGCAAAAAGGACCCGAGGACACGCCCACTCCGTGCCCAGAGGCGCGGTGGCGGATACGCGTTCGGGGCGCTCGGCGACATCGCTCGGCGGTTGCCTCTTGGGCCGTCTTGGGGCCGTCGTGGGACTTCTTGGGCCGTCGGGGGAAGCCCGACGGGCGAGAATGCGAAAATCACCAAAACATCTTACAGGACAGCCGGGACGTTGGCCGCTTGGGGCCGCTTTGGGCTTTCTGGAAGGCATCTTGGGGCCGCCTTGAAGCCATATGGGGCCGCCCTCGGGTCGTTTTGTGCCATTCGTCGAGGCGTCTTGGGCCATCCTGGTTGCCCTGGTTGCTTGCCTTGGCCGTCTTGGAAGCTCGGGATGTGGACACCCCGTCGTTTTGTGAATCACGAGGGGTCGTGGTCTTGGGAGTTGGGGCGATGCACGGGGGGGGGGACGCGGCTTGGAGGGGGAATCCCCTGGAAGATTTCAGAATCTCTGCCAGACAGCACTTGGCATTCTACCACGCTTCATCGTGCCGGGGACGGTGGCGGATCGACGCGCCCTAGCGCGTAAGCGCGTTTTGGCCCTCTGTAGGGGCATGACTTTCAGGCGCGCTTTGATCCATGCATGTGCGGCGTGACTCAGAGTGGCGCTCCAGAGTGGGACTCGCTGCTTGCGCGGGACCTGCCGTGGACGGAGTTATCTCAGAGGAGGAAGTGTGCCGATACACCGCTGCCGTGCCCTTGTCACCACGGGTGGATAATCCTCGCAACTTTGGTCAGAACGCACGCCAGGAGAGGTCCTTGGAGTAGCGGTATGGGTACCTCTCTGTTGCCCCACGATCCCTACACAATCGCCCGCTCCTCCTGCTTCCATTTCCCTCCACCCTTCCTTCCTCGTTCCCGGCTCCTTCCTCCCTTCTCATTTCTTCCCTCTCCCCCCCTCCTGCTGCTGCTCCCTGTCTTGGCTGTGCGCGGCGCAGGCTATTCTGTGGCCGAGCATGGTATGAT